CCCTCAAGTGATTTTGAGTTACCAGTCTGTTCCACACCTTAAGCGACAGATAGATCCATGGGTTTCTCACTTCCTTTAGTTTATTCATTAAGACCTTATCCCCAATTGCAGCTTGAATTGGAAATTCTTCTGATACAGCACTCTCAATCTCCATCTAGCAACGTACTTTGGATTGCACCTAAAAACATGCTTTATGCATTAAACTGATCACTTTTTAGTCCTGCAAACATTGGTATAAAATGATATATTTCTACAGGATGAAAAACCAGGTCTTACTTTTTTTTTCACTTGTAGTTTTGACATTTTATTTATTTATTCATGAACCTTTTTTTGGTCTTGTATTTCAGGCCAGAGAGCATTGTTTGAGCCTCTTGCAGGAAGCGTTACACGGCCACCAGAGGGCAGATGATGCATTCAGGTAATTACACAGACACATGCTTTAAATACAGAACGTTATTTGACCCCACAGTCTTTCATATCTTCTCCGTTTCTCCGCAGTGACACTGTGTCTTTAGCGGTGGAAGTGAGGTCTGTCCTCCAACTTGTACAAAGCTGCCGTCCTGAAGAGGGTAAACACTGACTGCTCTTCCTCTCACAGCATCGGGAAGATACGTTTCTNCAGTATGTTATTTTACCCCATAGTCTTTCATATCTTCTCCGTTTCTCCACAGTGACACTGTGTCTTTAGCGGTGGAAATTGAGATCTTCAAGAACAGCAAGTCCTCCAACTTGTACAAAGCTGCCGTCCTGAAGAGGGTAAACACTAACTGCTCTTCCTCTCACAGCATCGGGTTTCACAATAAAACATGTGTTTTATTGTTTGGAAGGTATCAGAGATGAAGAGGACAGGACCTGGAGGAAAAGGAGATGATGTCAAGGCGGACAGCAACATTGATTCTACGGGTCAAAACAAAAAGAGGAAGCACCATCGTGGTCTTCTTCCTTTGCATAGGAGCTGCAGGGGTTCACATCTGCATCTGAAATATACTCAGTAAGATCTACTTGCACTCACTCACACTTATGTTACGCTGGTTAGTGTGGCTAGAGCAGCAGCCATTTGTTGAACAATTGCTAAGTTAATAGACGGAAAAATAATTGATTAAAATGGCAGAAGATGCTGTTTTCAGACATCAAAAGGTTCAGTACCTTCTTTTTAAATTGAAATCAGATTAAGATGGTAGAGATTTAAAGATCTCCTCCCTGCTTGCATGCAAACACGAGGGCATGATGATATTACAGACAGAAGTTTTGAAAAAAGGATTGATTTGGTATCAATTACAAACCAGTTTGAATCGAGTAGAATTGATTATATCAATAGAATGACTCATTTTAAAACGAAGCTAGGAGGGAGGTTGCCATAGCAACACTGAATATTGGCAAAAGGGTCAACATAACCCACACCAAGGCCAACCACGGGGATTATGGAGTCCAGCTCCAAACATCCACCTACACCAAGATTGAAGTACGTTGTGTAAACTGTTATATAAACACGATTTTAGAATGAAACAGATGTTTTTTTAGAACAATTATTAGATCATTTTGTTAGCAAGAAAATAATAATTTATTACGG